TATTATATTGTGTGTGTGTGTGTGTGTGTGTGTGTGTGTGTGTGTGTGTGTGTGTGTGTGTGTGTGTGTGTGTGTGTGTGTGTGTAATAAAGTACCAGTGTGTGTTACATACTAATACAATTTATAAATGATAACATAACATTAAAATAATAAAATCAACAACACAGAGTACCCAACACAGATAAAACGTTATTTTTGTACTTGCTCATTAACATATTAAGCGGCTCATTAACATATGAATCGAAAGATAATATGGAAATTGGTATAACACATCGTCAGCTTTGTCGCCTTCAGCAATTTTCTTCGATTTGATAACATTGTATTTTATGTTAACCTTTCATCAAGATGTAATATGTCTATCGCTGTTAGAGCCGTAAATATGTAAATTCAAAGGCGCATAATTAACATACTAAACTAATTTCTTTCTCTCTTGATTAAGAAAATTTCATCACTATATCACTATATATTTAAAAATATATGCGTACGTTTTACGACACCATCGCAAAAAAGAATTGCAATCAAGTGTCACCGTCACACGCATTAAAAAACAATTACAACCATCACAATAGCCATCACAATATTAGAGTTTCGCGGAGACTTAATCGCAGAACTTTCCTTTTCAAACTGTCTTGAATCTCTCGATAGTTTTCGAGAGTGGCCTCGAAAATGAGATACCTACTGAAAAACCACGGAAAGTTTGCGAACTAAAAACACCCGATAACCTATCCAAAAGGATTTGAAAGACGGTTTAAAAGTAGCTGTTCTCAATTAGGAAATTCCTATTGAACAGATAGAAGAGCGCGAGATGTTTAGTAGTAGAAAACTACTGTCATCGAGGGGCAAGCGTGTTGGCGAGGAACGTATAAACGTTGGTGACTGACGGTACCGTCTGCACGTAAGTATAGACATGTAAGTAGTGGAGTTCGCTGATAAACATAAGTAGCAGCAGAATAACGTATGCCGGCCAGCGCATGAGCCTGATGTACTCCCAAATGCGATCGAGGAATATCGCTAGCTGCATATAATCCATAGCCGCGTGGAAGTTGAAGATCCTCCAGCCGAGAGCGACCGCCCAGAAAAGGGGGCTCCTGAGGACGATAGTCTGTCTGGCGTAGAACTGCTCCTTGGTGACCAGAGGTGGTCTGTCATCGGTCTCGAGGAGATCTTGATACACGGATATGTAGCGATTCCACACGGCGCTTGTCAAAAGGAAGTGCACGCCGACCAGCAGCATATGATACAAAGGCGAGTTCCAGAACGAGATCTTCGGTGAGGAGACGCCGTTGTCGCGCTGAGTCGCCAAGGACGCGGTAGACTTGCGATTCGAGGACAAGCGCTCGTAGCCGGCGCGGCGGTTGGAGCTGCGCTTTAGCAGGAAAAACACCGCGACCACGAGCGCGATGCAGCCGAGTCCGTCGCACACTCCGTCCACCAGATAGCCGACGGAGCCGACGTCCGAGCGCTCGCCCTCCACGTTGAGTCTCTGCCGGGCGACGTGGCCGTCCAGATTGTCCAGCCAGGCACGGACTTGAAAGAGAAGCACTCCCAGTCGTCTGTGGGCGAGGGAACTCCGCGTGATGTAGCGAGCGCCGAAGACGGCGACCAGCACGTGGAAGGCGCTGATGGCGTTCGGTGACAGCCACGTCCAACACTTGCTGATGCCCAACAAGTAGTCCACCAAGGACGCCAGAGGACTGAGGACAAAATGATTTGGATGGTCCAGCATTATCGCCTTCACCGTCACCAGGCAGATCGGATCCATCTCGCACAAGATCGGCGAATGATATGGCGCGCCACCGTGCGTGTCGTTTGTGCGCGGCCGCACGTCGTAATTCTGCGTCCTGAAATAAAGCAGCAAGTCCATTCCGAGAAAGTACAGCAGCGACAACAGCAGTAGCGCCAGGCAGGCCCGGTTGGTGAACGCTGGCGAGCACAACATCTTGCGGGACACGATCTTTTACCGTTTGGAGTGAAGGCCCTCGCGTTATTACTTCACCGGTGACCGACTATTATTGCTACGCTTCATCTGATCTTAGGACCGACTTTTTCATTTCCCTTCGCTGCAACGTCTTGCATGCCTTGCATACTACTGCTCCTCGTTGCGATCATTATCCGAAACTGTCACTAGCATTATAAATTCCCATACTATTATTGCTATCGGCAATCATGGCTAACGGCTACTCCCTCCGTCACTCAGCGCTATCAGGATCGTTCTAGATGTGTCACGAGAATTTCGCAAAGGATCGTGAAGACTGTCGCGGCGCCGTGTTGGATCGGCCGCCGTGCTGTTGTTCTTCAGGATGATCCTCCTCTCCGTCCCTTTTTCTCCCCAGATACATGCGAGTCCACTGATCGTGTCCGTCTCGTGCGATCGTTCGAGTTCCCACCTCGACGCAGCGTTGATTGTGTCGCAGAGAACACTGATATATACGGCAAGTATAAGTTAATAAAGTGATGTTGAGATATACATAGCGCGCTTCCGATGGATCAGTTTCTTTATATGTCGCGATGTGCCGTTCCGACGATATGGCGCACTGATAACCGGCCACTGTCGACGACGACGACGTTAGACTTGAATTCGTCCGTTGAACCGCATGCACGCAACAACGCACGCAGACTCCTTGGAGACGGTTTGGTTTATCGTGCCATTATCCCAAGGTGCTCTGAAATATTTTGCAACACGTTTCAAGCCGCATTGGGCGAATACACCAACTGTTATCAGCGTACTAGCACTTCTAGCTTTCTCAATGATCAGATTACGGCGCTGCGTTAGCCGATATTTCCATTTTATCGCGGTTAAGATAATCGTGACTCGTCGACGGGCTCGCGATTGTCTCGCCACTTTCGGCACGGCTGTTTTGCCCCGCTGGGAAGCTCGCACAATCGCTGGCGAGATCCGTCGACGTACTACACGCACTGACGGACAGCCGCCGGTTCGTCGCCGCTGAACCGATCACGGGCTTCACTTTATTTCGCAATAAGTCAGTATCGGAGATCAATTCGCGGGACTTATCTCTAATCTGATTCGGCCAAGGGGATGCGCGCGACGTATAGAAGGTGCGGTTGATACGCGTCGCGTCGAAATGCGACACGCACGACAAGACTCCGTGCGGCACGGAGATAACAAAGCAAACGCGATAATGTCAATAAAAGAAATGTTTTTTTTTTCTTTTAAATTTCGTTTTTTCGTTGAATTTCGTCGGCCGTTCGACAAAGGGCGGCTCGCGAAACAAGGCGAGATGGAAGGCGGAATTTGAGATTCTTTCCTGAAGATTCTCTCGCGTCTGCTGCTGAATTCTCGCACGCGGTGTTACTCGCTGCTGAATTAATTGTTCACGCGGTGCTGAGTTGCACTGAATTCGTTTCTCGCGCGAAGACCGGCTTCGGCGGTAAATGAGGAATTACTGGCACGTACAACAATCACGTTCGTTCGAAACGCGAGCCGGGCGAGGGGGGAAATTTACTTCTGCAGCGCGCGTGAATAACCGACGAAAACAGAAACGTTCGTTTATTCGGAAGTCAAGCGCGATTAGTTGTGGATATGCGTTACGCACATGTGTATTTTTTACATGTAAACATAGACCATCTTGGCACTCGATAATATACTCGTCACGGAAAAATCGATTTTCGTATTTCCGGCGTATCTGCTTGACTTGTAACACGAGGTCAAACACAGTGAATACAAGCCATCAGTGACATTACATCCAATGTTGTAATGTATCTAGATACATTAATTTAATTACAGTGGATATATTTATCTAATTACAATCTCTAGATACTTTTTGTGTATCTTTATCTGTAACTAGTTAGATTTTTTACTTCAGTAACTATATCTATAACTAATTTCATTTTACCTTGTATCTGTATCTAAGTTTGACACTTTAGATATAGATAGAAGTTACAGTTACTGAAATGAAAAATCTAACTGGTTATAGATAAAGATACACAAAAAATATCTAGATATTGTAAATAGATACATGTATTCACTGTAATTAGATAAATATATCTACTGTAATTAATAAATGTATCTAGATACATTACAACTAGCATGTATCTAGATATAATACACTGATTACATCAATGTTATAATTCCCTACTCAACAATGTAAGTACAGTATTACACGTGTGCTGTATGTAACAGTTATATCACTGAAGACTGATCTTTCCAATTTCTTGGTAGATTGATTGACAATTAAGTCATAGATCTGTCTTTGTCTAACTTGAAGGAGGAACAAAGATAGACATGATTTAACCATCAGCTAACACATCAGGAGACTGGAAAAATTCTGAGTGGGAAATTATGACGCTTATGTAATGATATTATTAGTCCGTGCTCACTGAGGACATAGTACAGAGTATAGTGTGCAGAGTAGGTGTGAGTTATTGCTAATTAGCGAAGTGTGTCAAGGAGTAATGTCATAATGTCTACTTGCAACTTTTTGCAAAAACATAGGTATTTATCTAACAATATATTAATGTATTAATAAACACAACAGCTTGATTTTACGATTCCACTAAAAAAATTGCCATTTTTTTGCCATATTGATGACACCTTGTCAATTCTTACCTCTTTGTAGTAACACTTTAAAAAACTGTTTTTCCTTTATAAAACAGCCTTTGTAATTCTTAACTTTCTCATATGTATATTGAGAGAACAGTTGGAATATTTCTAGTATTATTGTAAGAGAATATCGCTAACTTTAATATTAACAAATATAAAACACATATCTGAGTCTTACCTGAGGCACTTGTGTGCTTTTACCACAGCCTGTTTCACCCACCAGAACCAGGGTTTGATATTTCTCCAATAAGTAAATTATGTGGTCTTTGTTTCTAAATATAGGAAGCCGTTGGCGTTGCATATCAAGCGCAAGTGAGTGGTGCGCATTATAAACAAATTGCGTAGACGAGTGGGCATCAATATCAGGTTTATCTTCTTGCCACATGTTATCCCCTGATCAATAAAATTGTTCAATTAAGAACAGACATCTCTCATAGTTCATTACGTCGCGAATCAAATCTCAATGTATTTCCACTGTACCGCATAGGTTATATTCGAGTGCGTGCTAACTCTCAAACTGCAAGTTGTTTTTTGAGAATACAAGTCATTGTTCAGAGAGATATTCCCTCACTTGATGTACCGTGTCACAATAGAGGAACTTTATGCAGTTTAATGTAATAAAATTGCGCATTGCGACCGACTGACGACATAACCTTACCTGGTCGGGAGAAAACCGGTCGAAGCATCTTTGCACGTTTGTAAAATAACGTCAACACAAGGGAACTGCTGTGTCACTTAAATAGGAAGGAAATATATGTTGTATGAATGAAATTCAAATAAATCCATATCAAAGAGTAGCGCACGAGTGTAATGAAAATTATGACGTGTTTTCACTTGTACACAGACAGATAGATGGCTCCTACTGTCTTTGTAATTTAAAAGGCAGTCGCCCGCGAAATTATAAATTTCAAATTGTAGAGTTTATCCCCTTGTCCACAACCTTGCTTTAATCTTTAAGCTGTAAGAAATTGACCAACCATTATTTTAAAAATAATCAACAAAAGATTAAAGCAAGAGGTCTGTTTAATGTTCCTGTTCGACAATATCCTCAGAATTCACCTGGCTGTCCTATTAGTATGTGTATTTCGGCAAGTCTATATAATAAAAGTATTGACAGAGTAACAAAATTTCGATAACAGGATTTCCGTTTGGCTTTTATTTCTCCTGAACTCTATTGTACATTTAATTAGTTGTACAAGGGATAATATTTCGCAGTACGAATATAGAGAACCATCTTTATTTGTATTTACTGTTGAACACATTTTACCATTTTAAATCTTAAACATACATGTTATTACCCTCTCACTGATCGACAGTTATATTCATTACATGTAAAGCAAAAAAATAATGATATTGAAAATTATATGAACCACTTTACTATTCATTGAGATACCTCCGCGACAAATAAAACATTCGAGCTACTGAAGTTCACGCGTTAGAAACGCAACTAAAAAGAAGACAAACTGGTGATACATGACAATTATTAGTTTTATATAACATGCAACAAATTAGTACTTACATCTGTATTAATCACGTCACACAAATTAATCTCGAAATTGTGATTATTTCGGAGTCGTACTTGTGTGTAGAATCAATCATATGTTAACTAGCTTTTCTTTTACCGGACGATCGTCATTTCTTTATTTTTATGTAACATTAGCAAAACTTCAAGACCAAACTTTCTTTACTTGTCAGCATTTTTATACATATACATGTATATGTACGTATAGGTACAATGTGTGAATATACCGAGGTAAGATAAGTTTACACGTATTATATAAGTCGCGCCTCGTATGATAAAAAATAAAAAGAATTTAGAAAGAGTTATTTCGATTTCTAAAAGTTACGACAGCGAGTCTGATGATATCCGTGTCTAAATTAACAAGTTTCTTGGAAACGTGTTTCCTTCATCGTTCAAAGAAAAGTTATTTTTGCAAAAACACATCGTATGTGTTAGTGGATTTTAACGCACATATAATTTACCTAAAGCCTAAATAAATGTTTCCCTTTTTTCTCCTTTTTTTGCGAAAGTTTCACCTTTCATAAATACGTCATCAGAACAAGCACGTTCGAAATTAACCCGTAGAAATGGCGCTCTCTTAAATTTCTCCACGACGTCAGCGAATGGTCGCACGTTACAAACCGCAATCTCTATTTTCGGGAATGTACTTTGATTCGCAGAAAAATATCTATCTCCGATGTATATAGCCCAAGGTGTGTATGTGTCTACGTAAGCTACATGTGTGTCTGTGCGTCGGAAACAATGAGGACTAGTAGTAGTAGTAGGTGGAAATATTGTGTTGCACAACTGTACCCATTTTCCAGACACCGCACCATCGTTTGTCCTGATGATGGAGAAATATATAATTATAGAAATATATTATTTCTAAACGTTATCGGGGTATACTTCCTTATACTTTAGGGCTCTAACGCTAAATGAATATATAATATGTATGCGCGTGGATGCCAGTACAGAGAACACGGTGTATGTTTATGCTTTACACATCACGGTCAAATGTAGTCGCAATTTTAAGTGTCGGACACGTGTTACGCTGTTGCCTAATTGCTGCCCTTACAAGAAGTACTGTAAGAGAAAGAGAGAGAGAGACACACACAGTCATCCTGAACACAGAGAATCCTCCTTGATATAATAGACGTCAAGTGTTCCTTTTTGGTTCTTTCTTTTTTTCTGTTTTTTCGAATGCTCGTCACCCTTCCTGAAAATGCACAGACGATCGGATCTGCTCTGGCTTCACACTCGGTAGTTAAAATTGCGTCTATGGATTAGGTCTGTCAGCAATAAACGTGAGAGAATATTAGGCCGTAGCCTCCTCCGCGTCGCCGTTGTTCTCGGTCTCGGCGCACTTCTCCTCGAGTCTCGACTTCTTCTCGGGGCTCGCACCGTCCGTTGCTTCCTCCGTTGCGTCAGCCGCAGCCGTAGATTTCCTCTTCACGCAACAGCTGTCGACAGGGGCATCTGGAATTGTAAACGAGAATATTACCAATTGTTGCATTTCTCTTTTCTTCAGATTTTAAGCATAAACGAACGAGGAAAACGAACAACAGACAGAGTCTATCTGTCTGTTTAGTATGACAACACTTACCTGTGGAATCTCCATTTTCCGTAGACTCGGCTTCCTTCTCATCACTCTCTTTCTCCTCACTGGAGCCATTCTCTTTGGTTTCCTTAGTGTCTCCGTTTTCAGATGTTTTCGAGTCCTCGTCGACTTCCTGTACTACCTTCTCCTCCTCTACCACCTTCTTCTGCGGGGTAGTGACTTTGGTTTCCCTGGAAACGACATATGATGCTGAATACGTTTTCTCAAGGTTTGCACTTTTATAGTAGGGTATATACTGTGTGAACAACAGATGCTTATTCCGACAAGTCAGATATTGATTATAAGAGTAGAGAGAAGATAACCTGTAGAGAACAGAGAGACTATATAGTGGAAGCTTTATTTATAACTTTTTCGAGATAAGTCAGATATTGACTATAAAAATTCATACTGTACAACAAAGTTAATTTTACTCATGAGAGATTGTGGAAAAATACTTATGAGAGATTGTGGAAAAATAGGTTTACTCGCTGTGGCACATGATATACACATCATATTGTATTTTTATACAAGAGACAAAAATGAATCGCGGCCAAAATTGCAAGAACTCTAGGCGACGCACACCAGTCGTCACACGTGCATCAACATTGCAAGTAACATTACTTGTACGATTTTCAATTCTACACGTAATACGTAATTATAGATTGAAAATAATATGAAATCTAACAAATTGTTGCATCTGTTGGTTCACTTCGCACTTCGAAGAACCAATCTCTATTTTCGAACGCTGAATAAAGACTTGAACAATGATAGTATATAAAGCATTGAGGCACACATACGACGTTCGGCGTACATTCGCCGTTCAAAATCGCAAGCCGTTGCTGGCGCGCTCCCGCTTCGGTATTTGCTGCCGTTTCACATTGCTGGCTAGCAACAAGGACGACGCGACGAACGGAGCGAAATAGAGATAGGACGCCAACTGTGGCGACACCTAGCGAGAGTTAATATTATCCTCCCTTCGTTCCCCTCGCGGCCTCGCTCTTCCCAACGTTACTCCCCGCCATCGCGTCCCTACTACTACTACTACACTACTATTAACTACCAACAGATCTACCGTCACTACACACTCTCACGACGATTCACGACGCCGAAGGCTTCACAGCGGACGCTTGTGTGTGTAACGCGATGTAATATATATAACGTCCAATTCTCTTTCTCTTTCTCTCACATCGCTTTCAACCTCGCGGTTTTTACATGCGCAGAGAAACGCAAAGGATGCCGTTATACGTCTACTAACCGCTACTTCGTTCCACAGGTAGCAATGAGCAACACGAGACCGGTATACATAATCAAAGACCATGAAAAAGACGAGTAAATATAGACATCTTTTTCGTGCGTCTAACATATATCGAAGACTCTAGCAGATCGAGATTATTACACCGGCATTTCACGGAGGATCTCCGCGGGAAGGAACGCGCGCGATAAAGTCGCCGCCACCGTCGTCATCGTTGCGTTATCACTGGCAACGTCTAATCGACGTGAGCCGGCACAGATCGATACGTCGTCGACCGCTTTCGAGTCGATACGCGTGGCATCAGAGCAGGAAAGACCGACGGTTCCTTTCGTCGAAAGGAGCAAGAGAAAGTCACGCGATGGGGGAGTAACGCCACCACCGCCACCGTCGTCGTCGTCGTCGTCGTCATCTCGCAGCAACGCTACGAATCGAAGCGGAGAGATAGAGCGAGAGAGAGAGAGAGAGAGAGAGAGAGAGAGAGAGAGAGAGAGAAAGAGAGAGATCATCACCGTGTGTATTTTCGCACGTTCTGTGGGTAATATCCGCGGAAAACATCGTGCATGCAATGTGTATACGTATTATGCACGCGGATCCCATGCGCGCGCGCACGTATATACATATATATAGGCGACGTAAACAAACGAAGCAGAAGTAGCCGAACGCGAGGGACAAAAGAAACACGAGGCCGCCGCCGCCGATCGTCGACGATGTACCCGTCTTCGATCGCGCGCGCGGACGAAAGCGCGGGCGACGGAGGAGCAAGGGGCAGGATAAGGGGAGAAGAGGATCCGGCGCGGGACGACGATGCCGCCATAGAACCGCCGCAAGTAGAGCACGCGTCGTGTCGCGCGCGCGACGGCAAGGGCAGGTAATTTCCAGCGATCGTTAGGCGTCCCGCGAATCGCCCTGAGAACACATCGTTACGAGGAAGAGCGAGCGAGCGAGCGAGAGAGCGTGAGCGAGGGAGAGAGATGGAGAGGCGGAGAGAAGAGAAGAAAGAGCGACAGAGAGAGAGAGGGGCATCGCTCGCTGCCTCGTTTCCCCCCGTACCGCGCATCGCGTCTCCTTCTCCCCTCGACTCCGCCGTTGCCCCCGCGTGCTAGCCAACCTTTCTCGACGACCGCGCGACTATCTCCACGATAAATTCGAAAGCGATCGCGGCAAGGGTGACGAAATAACGGGAGCACGATAATTCATGGAAAAGAGGCGAGACGGGCGCGATAACGTTTCCGATCGCGCACGAGAAGGTGAGGATTTCGCGAATTTGGCGCGCGCGAGTGAAGGAGAGAGAAGGAGAGAGCGAGCGAGAGAAAGAGAGAGAGAGAGAGAGAAAGACGGAACGAACCGACGCCGAGCGCGCGATTGCTCCGCCACGCGATTTTTCCACCGGGAAATCGATGCCGCACGTAGCCGCGCGTATTTACGCACCGGCGGACGCGTATATATACTCACTTGGCCTCAGTGTCCGCCATACCGATCGATTGGATCGCGAGAAATGCACGCACGAACAGCACCGAACTTGCAAAAAGCACACCTCCAGCCGACACGGCGTTACGCGTCTTCTACGCACCGGTAAGCACACGTCGGGGATTCCGGTAACACCGCTGCCGCGTACCGACGCGCAAATGGCAGAGGGAAACGCGCCGCACTGATTCGCCCGAGACCCGAGCGACTCCGGCCCGGCCGGCGGACCGGCGGCCTTCAAACGCTTTTCTTTCCCGCTCGTTTATAGATGGCGCGCCAGGCGAGCGCCGCTCGCCGCACGCGCGCGCGCACACCGCTTGCGGCTCTCGCTGCTCCCGCGTAGGGGAAATCGCAGGCACCGTGCTTCTCTCTCTCCGTGCTCGCGGTCGGACAAAATGAGAGACGTGAAAATCGCTCGGCGGTATATATCGTTGCGTTGCTTACGTTGCTCGACGACGTGCAGCGGGTTGCAAAACCCGCTCAGACACAACCGAGAGCTCGGCGAACTGTCAAAACTGAGAGTCATTAACGCGCTTCACCAGTAATGATATATTATCAATTATATTATACTATTGTTATACAATTATTATTATTGCTATTACTTAGTGTTGTTATATTATTAACTGGATTATTATTGCGTGAGAGTGTCCGTCGGTAATGACTGTCAGTTTTGGTAGGTTGATGAGCTCCCAACTTCATTGTGTCCAAACAGTTTTGCAACCCACTGCACGATGTTGCCGTGTCGGTATTTCGTCGGTAACACTGTACACTCGTGTACTACATGATACACATAACGTGCGGCGAATGTAATAGATCAATAATTATGGCATATGAACGAAAAGAACGACGTAACCTTCAAGCCTCCAACATGGCTTTGTCTAATTAAAATGCAATTCCGCTTAAGACGGGAACGATTCATGAAACTATTTTCTATACGTGGCAACTCGGGGGCGATGGAGTAGATAATTGAAGCTACACTGCTGTATATTCATATCGTCATGTTGAATCGGAATTATACACCGGTTCAGTTCAGTTCCTGATTCCTATACGTCAATACGTTTATTATGGATGAACTATTATATTTCTCGTTCCTTATGTTTTATTCAGCACGTCCCGCCCGGTCTTAACCGTCGTTATCGTTGCTTTGCGCGCGCGATATCATCCGCTTAAATATCCGCGAAATGTCATTTGCATTCGGCATGATTCCGCAAAGCTATACGAGAGCAATTTCGAGATCGATACGAGTCCGGATCGTCCCGAGACTGTCGACACTTATTGAATTTTAGGAGAGTCACTGCGTCGTTCAGATCTTCGAGCCAAGTCAGTTATCGTGATCGTCGCCGGCGAGTAGATTCAAAGTAGACCTCAAATACTTCGCACGTAGAAGTCGGGAGAAATTACGTTCGAAAACGTTCGATCACTGCCCACGCTAACGCGATCGAAAGTGTAAAATAAGGGAAACAAGTCGTCAGAAAGAATCAAGCGTCGCACATAAATTATTTTAGTTAACTTAGCTTGTAGTTTTTCACTCTTATTTTAATTTTCTTTTATCAGTAAAAGTATCTTCATATATGACTTACGAGCCCTCTGATGGGTCTTCAGTCACTTTTGTCAATAAAAGAGGATAGAGAATATAAGAGTCTTAGATCTTTATTTAGAATACTGTTCGACCAATATATGTGTCTCCAAAAATAATTTTTGAGTCTTCTGATTGGCTATAAGCTACTTTTCGAGACTCTTTTATCGATAAAAGAACGTTCAGAATAAGGATCTTTGTCTTTAGAGTGAAAAAAAGTGTGTAACCTGGTGCTGAAGAGAAAAGAAACAAAATTTCATTGCAATATTGGTTCACCAATATTGGAAAAGAATAACTCTTATGATAAGCAAGGTTACACGCACGACTGTCAACTTTACATACATCCGCTCATAAGGTCGAAAATCGTGCGGAACACTGACAAGTGAACGCGAAGATATACAACCGTGGACTAAAAGGTTGTCCATAATTGTCGGGATGAGTTTGCGAACTGCTCGTCTTGTCTAATGGGAGAATGCCGCCACTGGATAACAAGGATGACTTCACAAATTCCTTCGAAAAATTACGGACAACCTTTTAGTCCACGACTACGTGTATACGCCGGTGAACGGCGACATTCAATTATTCGCGGCACTAGTTCGCCGTGCGAAGGCAGCGACACCACCTCGAAGTCTCGACAGTGCCCCCTGCCCCGCTAACCGTTCCGTCGTTCCCCTCCGTTGTCGCAGCGCCCAATCGCGTTGCAGCTTACGCATCGAAAAATCTGCGCGTTTCCGGCGCTAGCCGTTTATTTTTATTCGAACGAATTGCACTTCGCTTTCTCGAGAATGCGCGTCCCACCGCGCCTCGTCAATCGACTCGCTCGCTCGCTCGCTCACTCGTTCGTGCGCGCCGAGGATCATGTCCGATGCACGGCGATCGCCCGCGTCGACACCCCACGCGCTCGGGAAAGTTCTAGAAGTTTCGAGGCATGGCGGCGCTTCCGCCGTGCGGGAAAGGTGCGCGGCGCATCGCCTCGTGCCGCCTTCCACCGTCCATGTTACAGGTTGCTTCCGCGCGAGCCCTCGATAAGTACGGCTTTTCCCTCGTCGCGCAAGTTGCAATAACCGTCGCCCCGGCGGAGAAATCGACCACTTCACGAGCTCGATACGCGCTCGATCTCTTTTTAGGAACGGGTTGCGGCTCACCTTGTCCTCGGGCTTCCGCTTTCCTCGGCAATTTTTCGTCGCGTAGGACTCGCGTGGGGGAAGGGTCGCGCCTCGGAGAGAACTACAAGCAGCTCTCTAGAAACTTATCATTCGGTCCCGACCGTTTTATTCTCGTGGCAAGCGCGCTTTCTAGGACGAAACCGCGGTAGTTTCGACCGTGTCATTCGTCTCGCGGCAGCTCACCGTTTACAACATATGTAACAGTTGGACGAGCATGTAGGGGGAGCGAGAGATTAAGCTTTTTTGAAATATCCTACTTTCGTACTATTAACAAAATTGTAGCAACGAGGAAACATATGCGCGCATCTGTATATCACAGGTAATTGGTCGTGCCAACGCGCGTCCTCAGGAACGTCGAATAAATTCTTCGTGAACGGCCGAGCGCTCTACTCTGCGAGAAATATCTAAGAAATAAAATGTATTTATTCGATGTAAGTATTGTTAACGTATTTACTCGTACTAATATAAGGTATTTCTCAAATAAGAGAATATATACGTTTACGTAAAACCACAAGTAGAGAAGCTTAGCTTTTCGCGGGAGCAATTGTTTATTCTACGCATATGAAAGAATTCCGATTTAGCTTGACGTGCTATCGAGCAACCACTGAGTAAATATTTACATTCTTTTTAGACATCTTCTCTCTCGATGTACGTGGATCCGCCCAAAGGCGCTCGTGCACGCTCTCGCCGTGAGATAATTCATTAATCGTTGTCACGAGCGCATACGCGTTTTTAGCCGCGCTGCACGCTTGCACGGCGATTCGCTCGTTCCGTAAATATATTTTTTGCTCTGTGTGTTGCGTGCGTATGTGTGTGTGTATATATACACTGGTGGCACGCGCGCGCACGTCCACGTAAGCGCGCAGATAACCAGAGCGGGTAGCAGCTGCCGTACGCACCGTGTGTGCAGGTGAGACGGCCAGATGCCACCTTCTTCCGAGTATCTCTCAACATGGTCGAGGCCCCAGCCTCGGGTGTGCTCAAAATTTTCGACGGCACTTTCACGGGGGAAAGCGACGCGCTGCAGTAAATACGCGTGCGCTCACAACAGTGGAATATTCGTCCTCTCGCGTTCTCCTTCTTTCCCCTCCCCCACCCCGTCTACCTCTCCCTCTTCGCCACGCTCCTTCTCCTTCGCGCTGTCTCGTTCTCGCGTCCCTCTCTGTCTCTGTCCCACCGACGTAGGTCCGTCTCCCACGCGCTTCCGTCGGAGACTGAAATTCGCGGCGGTGGTTTGTTTTTCCTTCGACTTCTTTTTTTTTCGGGATCCCTTACGTAAGCGCTCGCGCGCCGAGCCGTCGCGATAAATTAACGTGATATTTGCCGCGGATCGTAATTATTACCTGATCATCGGTACATCTCTGAGCCGCGACCAGCTGGCTGGCTGGCTTGCTTGCTTGTTTGCTTACTCGCTTGCTCGATAAGCTCTTACTAGGTCAGTGGATGTGTCCGCCACGGCCGCGGATCTATTCCGACACGACAGTAACCTATATTTGCCGGTGGCTTTTGCAGCGTGTCGGGACGGACCGCTAAAGATAGCGGCGCGCATCTAAATTTTCATTTCGCTGGACTCAATCCCGCTCCTCCTCCCGCCCTGTCCTCCCACCACCCCTCAACCCCTCGCTCCGGCGGTGTCGCTCTTATTGAGATGCGCGCCGTACACTTTCGGGTCTAGGTTCTCGTAAGAAGTGGTGAGACTTGCGACACACAGTAACAGAGAGAGAAAAAGAGAGAGAGAAAGAGAGACAGAGACAGAGAGAGGGAGAGGTAGGAAGAGAGGAAAAGAGAGCAAGAGAGCGGAATTAGAAATGGAAATACACCGACGTGGTCGGTCGCCACGTATTCCAGTGGGGCCTACATACGCGAATACGCTTATTAATAGCACCCCGAATAAATACCGCCCCAAGGATGCGCGCAGAGTATCGCGAGCGTCCGCGTTTTCGCGACGGCCCATGCACAAAGTCCGCGTGAAAGCGCGCGCGGCCAGCGTAGAGAGGAAGCTGTTAAATAATTTGCATGCGGAGCGCGACTTGGTCGAGAGCGGCTTTTATAAGGACGAGCGAGTTCGAATGAAAAATCGACAAAGGATTCTCCTTGTCCTTGCGACTAGTGCGCGATTTGGGAACGACTTGGAGGAAGGCATTCTTTCCGTCTCTGTCAAGAGGACTATCCCCCTCGCTTTTCGATGATGATATACTCGTGAGACGTGCGCGTCCCACGAAAATCCGCGGAAATCGCGCGTTTCGTAAGTCTCGTGAGCAAGAGGCGCTCTCGGCGTCTTTTCCCGGCGAGATGTTCGCGTAATAAGAAGAAACCGGCGTGCTCCTCTCGACAAATTGGCTCGCCGCTTCGGGTCATGGAATCAATAAAGAGCGCGTGGACGCGCGCATCCTGTAGGGTAGAATCAAACAGAGCTTAGCCCTAAACAGTTCAGGCGTGCTCCCACCGGGTCCTTTGTACTACCGCCGACGATATCAAGGCACGCAAACGACAGTGCACACGCATGCAAATT